GATGACCACCAGAGATCCCTTCTAACATAAATTCGTTGATTCAATAAAATGAAGATGCAGTTTTTAAAAATACCTTTTGTGAAAAAGCCATACAGCCCAGTACCTTTGATGATAAGTATTTAATTATAGAAGATAGTAAAGGAAAGAATGGTGCAAGCACCATACTGTAATGGTGTATATTGTATCCATTTCTTAAAAAAAGTGGTGAGTGCAATCTTGCTATTTTATTTTTCATTGTTAAATATTTTTCTTTTTACATGAAATAAATGTGCTGTAAAAATACAGGCCTTTCAGGGAGATGCATTGAAACACACTCAGCATTAAATCAGGGGCCAATAAGACTACAAAGGTGAGACTAATATGCAAGTAGTTTAAATTCTCTGTATGAAAATGAAAACAGATTTTACTTAAAATATTTGGGACATTGCATGAAACAAAAATCTTACTAGTATAATATATAGAGAAATGGAGACCTTCAACACTGTAATTTTTAGAAAGTATACTGGACTTGAAAAACAGAAATCGAATATAAACCGTGAAAAATAAAGAACATAGTTCTAATATTGTAGACAAAGAACAACTGGACTTTGAAGATTATAAACTTTGGTGATTAAAAATACCACGTATTAGACATTGGTTTTACCATGTTGCATCATTCACAGCTATTGAACAATAGATTAAGTTACAAAGAGCCATTGTGCTATCAATTTTTCAGTAAAGCCCTATCGAAATCATTGGGAAGTCAAAAAACAAGATAAAAAATGGTAGAATGATTTAGCCCATCACCTAATTATTGTCCAAGTGTCACTTGCTAGACTGTGATAAAACTCTTCCCGCCCTATTTTCCCCAGATAGGATGGAGAATGTGGGAGGCTGGACTAGAGAGCATCTAAGTCCATATAAAGGGGCTCAGCAAGAGGTTACATTTTAAACCAGGTTTAATCTGAACTTCATTATCCAAAGCAAACCTGTATTTCTGTAATGTGGTCTCTAAAGTGATACAGTGACAATCCCCTCTACCCATGGTGTGGGGTTGAAGCATGGACATACTCAAAGGTACTGAGAGGCCTCTGAAGTACTTCAGGGAATAAACGGTGTTACTCTGTGGGTCAGATGAACTCCACCGGGCATCTGCAGTCCTGGTGGTTTACAAAATGAATGATCTCCTGTTCTGTCCTACCACCTTTGTCAGTAAAAACAGAAGATCTGTGCTTTCCCCTATTTTCATGTTCTGTTATATACTATAAGATCACATTGTCTTGTTGCAACTGCATATCCATGTATAAACAAATTTAGTATTTTTAGCACAGAAATATAATGAGAACTTTTTGGAAAAACATGTATAGCAAGTAAGTCATTATTCTGAATATCCCAAAGGACAAGTGATCATTTATTCATTTATGCACAGCAATCCAGGAATAGGATTAAATAGGTGATAGGTTACGTATTCTGGAAAAGGATAACACCTAGTCAGTATAAAATATCGTGATAGTTCAGTCTGAATACAAAAATACTCATTTTCTGCCCAAGTTCCTTTAAACTTAGTGGAGATTTTAAGCGTCAACTTGCAGATGCAGAAAGAAAAAGAGATTAACTTTATTGAATTTTAAACAGTCTCTATTTAGGCATCCAGACTAAGTCTGTAGCTACCAGTGATTAATAGAGATGAGCACCTCAAAAAACCAAAACATATCAAAACAAACCTCAACCCATGTATGTCACACCTCTGTGTTGGAATGCAACAAAATATCTTCTAGAGGTTCCCTCTCTCTCGCCATACTTTAGATTACTGAATTTGCTTGTCATACCATATTAACTGGACTACTTGGTAAGACAATTTTATTATTAAAGTTGACTTCTTCTTTAATAACCATCTCACCTTTCACAATTCTAAAGTGGCTTTATCTTGTTGATTGAAAACACAGAACTCAAATGTAAAATTAAAAAAAATATGGATCTGTGTACCAGTTTTTTCTCCAGTAATTTGCTCTTTTTATGTTTTTTAATACCCTAGAGATATTTTTAGAAGCTAAAATAAGTGATTAAAGACATTTCTGTTGTCAGTTTTATACTTTTAAGATGTCTAGTCTTTCTTATTTGAGGTTTCTGTTTAAAGCTACCTAGCTGTAATGGAAGCCACCCACACAATTTTTCCATGAAAATTAGATATTTGCAATATAATACTTGTACTGTAGTTCCATTCCTCCATCATACACACTACATCTAGTTTCAGTGGTCTGAACAAGCAAAGGCATGCACATAATTAATTCCATGAGGGACAGCTTATTCATATATTTGCACACACAACTCTTGCTCTTTGTATATCAGTTGCACATAATTTACAACGACTATTTCTGCTAACTTGAGCACTCTGTGTAAATTCAATTCTAAATAAAGCTCCAAGTTTTCAGACATATTTTTGTTGTAGTTTCATCAAACATTTTCTATTGTCCTACACGCACATAATCATGCACACACACACACACTGGAAATGGCTTTTTCTATTTTTCAGCTTGTGCTATGCAGTAAAATGGTTATAAAAATAACACCATGGCAACAGTTGCTTGCACATGTGGATGTCATAAACGTTTTGTGTTACTTTACAACCGAATGCACTGTCACAGCAGCGGGCCCGTTCTGGGAGTGGGGATGGAAGGCATTTTCTCAGGCACCGAGGTGATCTGCAAGTTGCAAATCAGTAATGCATATGGTGTAAATTAAAGTCACAAGTGTTTTCCTGATAGGTGACATACATGCACATAGAATTTGTGCTTTAAAAAAAAAAAAAAAAAAACCAAAAAACAAAAAAACCACAAAAAACCAAACCCACACAGGAATGTAGCTTAAAATAATAATAAGAAAAAAAGGCAGCACACTTTTTCAGGATTGTGAGCGAACACGACCCAGGAGACTTCCCAGAGGTAAAGCAGCTCTCTCCCACTTCCCTCAGCCGTCGCCCCCCGGGGGTCTCCCGCAGGGACACCCGGGCCGCCGTCCCGAGCCCCGGCTGCCCACGCCTTCTGGGGAGGCGCCCCTCGCCCGCTGCCCCCC